AAATAAGTCTTATTCTCGCTGTCCTATTCTGCGATATAGCTCCGTACAAAGTTGCTTTGTAAAGTTGCTTAAGCGTACTTGTAACTGTGTGACAGTAACCTATGGAGTTTGAAGTTCGTGTTTAAACATTGGGACAGATTGTGAATTTCGCTTGTGTAAAGTGAACATTAAATTAAAGTAAAATTTACATACTCCATTGGTATGAAGCAGGAGTTCATTTTGGTGCTATTGAATCAGCTAGTTGTTTATGTTATTTGCGATGTATTTTTACTAAACCATGGAGAAGACTGTCAGCGCACTAGACACAGATAAAGGTCAAAGGGGTAATTCTGGCGGCATTTCTATTATTCGCAGTTCGAGTTGGCAGACGGTGAACTCTGCGTCACTCAAAGATGATGAGGCTCCTGGGTCATTCAAAACCGAAGTTATGGCGTCCCAGGCGCGTAACTCACTGGGAACCGATAAAAAGTTCCTCGAAGAACTGGAAGCGTTGCGAACACTGAATGAAAATTCTGGATCTAGGCTGCGGCAGCTGCTTGAACATGTGGAGCGGGTTCTCAAGGAGAGCAAAAACCTGAAGGTCCAACTTAATACTACGTTTAGTGAGATGGACATGGAGAAGGAACTAGAGACGAAGGCGAAGATGGACGCTCAGCGCCTGCGTGATCGTGTGGCGGATCTTGAAAGTCAGCTGAATGTGTTTTGCAAGCAACTTTATGATCGCATCACGGAAAAAAGCGTCGTCAAGGGCATGAAGCCACCGGTGGTAGGCTCACTGCTGCACTCGGTACGAACGATAGGCGATATGGTCAGATATCTGAAGCCTTTGGATGAAAATTCTAATGGTGGTACTAAAGACGAGGTGGAGGAGTCGGCAACAGTTGTACAACTGCGGAAGCAAATGAAGAACGTTCAACAGCGTCTAGAGGAGAAAATGAGGCAACTGAAAAGAGAACGTGCGAAGCAGGAGGAACTCGAAAAGATTTTGAACGATGTCAACTGTGAGGTCTTTGATATGCTTCAGGTCGAACTAAGTGCCGATGAAGGTACGAGTGGCGCCACTGCCAAGATCGACATGGAGGAAAAAGAGGGGACAGAAGCCAACGACAGAGTTGAATGCAAGACTACGTTGCACCAAAGCGAAGTTGTCAGTGCCACCCGCCAAGCGCTAATTAACGTTACCAAGCAACTGGAGCAAGCTCGAAGAAAGAGGGATGAGTTGGAGATAAGACGGCAGAAAAATTCTGAGGAACTTCGGCAGGAGCACTTGAAGCAGTTGGAATGCTTTCATGTCTTAATGAGGATGCAAGAATACATCAAGGATTGCAAAAGTAAATATCGGAAAGGCGATGAATCAATCAAGCCGGCTGAAGCATCCTCGGAATTTGAAACACTTCTAGACGCTGGCACGGGGCTGTTGAATGAGATATGGGGTTGCTTGTATTCGACCGAAAACAGGGTGGCGGAGTTGAAGGCGGAAAACGAGGAAGAACGCGAGAGTCTGCAGCGCAAACAACGCCAATGCGCAGATCTTAGTCAAAGATACGAGGCGATTTGCGAGGAGGTCAGAGATCTCGAGCAGGAATACTATCAAGACATGGAAGACACGAACGAGCGGCTGCGAAATGCGAGGGCGGAAATTTTGCAGTTGCACGAATCGAATGTCAATTGCCACCGTGACTTCAGCGGGAAGTTCCAGCAGATGTACTCAGATCTGACGACAGCGGCCATCCAGCCGGAAGAACGCACGGCCAATGCGACGGAACAGAGCTTGAGCCAGGAAGAAAGAATACAAACGCTGGAAGAGAGTACTCGAAAACTCGACCTCCTCAACGAGCTGATGAAAGAGCATATCGCCCATGAAAGATGTCACATCCAAGAACTAAAGCGGGCCATCGGTACGTTGCTAGTGAACCAGATGACCGACCTTCGTTGGATCCAGGGCGCTTTACGTCGGAAGACAGACGAGGTGCAAAAGTTGATCAGCGGTACTGAAGAAATGCAACGCAGGAGCGCCGAGTCTCAATCACTCTTCGAAAGTCGAAAGAAGGAGATCGCTGAACGAAGCAAGACATTGCGTGATAAAATGGCGCAGGCCGAAGCGTTGTGCGGGCAGGTGCAAAACGAATATCAGGTCGCGAGGAATCAGCTGGACATGGAAGACTGCAGGTTGGAGGGACTGACGACGAAGCTGAGCGACGTGTGCGCTTCGTATGTCAAATCGACAAGGTCCATTGAGGAGCTGAGAGCGAACATTGCCAACATTGAAGCGGCTATCCAAGAGGCGAAAAGAAACAGACTCAAGACAGACGGATCGACTGTTGAAGACGAAGGTGAGACTCCACAAGGCACCGAAGACCCGGCATGGAATGTCTGGCAGCACAAGGCGGACATCGACGCGTTGCAACAGATGCTCATACAAGAAATGCAGATGGAAAACATGAACAATGCCATACTCTGCAGCGATGCCGCCACCCTGGAGCAAAACCGAATGGCCGCTGTTCAGCTGGAAAAGGCGAACGAGCTGTTGAGGATGAAAATTGAGTGGATGAACTGCCGCAAAGCTCATAGCGAGAATGGAAAGGCGGCGACCATC